AAGTGGAGGGTATTGGTGGTGCACCCGTGGTCGAGGATGGCAAGGTTGGCGCCAGCGGTTACGCTTTGAGCTACCTCGATGACGAGGGAGACTCTGTTTCCATCACTACTGATCATGATCTGCTCGAGGCCATCCTTCTTGCACGTCAGGCTGGCCAGGAGAAGGTGGACTTGTTCGTGCATGACCCAGCGCACCCTCCTACAGCTCCTGCTCCTACCCCGGTGCCTGAGCCAGTTCTTCCTACACCTGCTACTTCCGTCGTTCGCCGCCGTAGAGCCGCGGCCGATAGCGAGGATGAGGAGGAAGAGGACAGCGAGGAGGACTCCCGTGTGAGACGCTCAAGGAAGACCAAACAGGCTGTGCCCCAACCTGCGGAACAGGTCATCGCTGGTGTCCCCAACGAATTGCTGCTGCCTGGTGCTATCGCCGCTTTGGCTGTTGTCATTCTTGGAGTCTTCACCATCTCCAGGCTTTCTAGCAGGTAGGCATGAGGAAAGGAGAAGGACAACGAGGAGCAGAGATACCGAGGTTGTCAGAGATGAGTGTTAAGCATTGCGCCTTCTAATGTAAATTTGTACTCATAAGCCACCATCATATAATCTACTGCCATTCTTTCACATTCATCGCCTCTGAGTTTTCCGCAGTTATGTTTCCCCTGAGCCTGTTTCGAGCCATAAACCATGGCCCGTTGCAGTGAGTGGGTCACCTACTTCCTGTGGACCCACCACCACGAACTTCCCGGTCCACTTGAGTGTATGGAGCACGGGCCCTCTCAATGCTTCGCAGGTGGGAAAAAGTTAGCCGGACCTTGAGGAGCGCGCGACAGTACGGCTTCTCGCGACTTCAGACTCTTCTCGGCCAAAATGATAATAAGGAACCTAGCCGTACGGCATGGTAAGATACAGCAATTATGGCGATAACTACGACATGCTAATCAAGCCATCTAGGCCGCAAGGCTCTGTCCAACACCCTTCCTCGATCTTGCCTCCGGGCCCTGTCCACCGAGACGACGACCACAACCATAGATACCCTCGAAGATACCCTCCCAGCAGAACCGATTCAAGAAACCTTGGCCACCAAAGCGCCCAAGCCCGCCAACTCACTGATTGCCAAAGTCACTCAACCGACCCGCTGGTCTCAGAAGCAGAAGTCCAACACGGACATCTCTAAGATTCCTGAGGATTGGAGGATATACAATACCATCCAAAATTCCACGCGCACATTAGGCTCACGAGTCGAGTTCCGTCATGACCCAGACCATCTGCTCAAGAACCCACCCGAGGACGCGTCCTTAGAGCTCCTCATGGCTAATCAAGCGCATATGGGACACCACACTTCGCTCTGGAACCCGGCCAACTCGAGATATATCTACGGTATCCGCGAAGGAATCCACATTATCTCCCTTGAACAAACAGCCGCACATCTCCGCCGAGCAGCGAGGGTCGTGGAAGGCGTCGCATACTACGGTGGCATCATCCTCTTCGTGGGCAACAGGAAGGGCCACATGCCCATTGTGACCCGGGCGGCCGAGCTTGCAGGCGCATGTCACTTGTTTTCTAAGTGGACGCCTGGCGCGATCACCAACCGGGATCAGATCCTGGGTGGTATGGAGATGCAGATTGTGGACGAGCTTGACCGGCCGTTGGAGGGATTCGATAAGCATCTCATGGATAGACGGCCGGTTGTGCCGGATCTCGTGGTCTGCTTGAACCCCTTGGAGAACTACCCCTTGTTGAAGGAGTGCACATTGGCCAATATACCGACGATTGGAGTCATTGATACCAATGCGGACCCTACTCTGGTTACATATGTCATTCCTGCCAACGACGACAGGTGAGACCCTCCATCACTTCTTCTTGTCCGCGGCGGCCACGTTTGCTAATATGAACCCTTAGTTTACGAGCAGCAACCGTCATCGCCGGTGTCCTCGGCCAGGCTGGAAAGCGTGGCAAGGACAGGCGGATCCAGGAGGCCGAGAACGGCCAGGTCACATGGCAGAACCCACAAGAAGTCCGCGACTTCTTGATTCAAGAGAAGAAGGCACAGGAAGCGGCAGCTGCTGAGCTCTCGGAGAAGAAGCCCGAGGCGCCCCAGGACATGGATGGTGTGATGAACGCGGCTCAGCTGGAGGCATTCCAGTTACTACAGGAGATTGAGCGGGAGAGGAGATTCAAGGGAAGGCGTGGCGGAAAGAAGGGTGAGGAGAAGGAGGAGGAGGATGAGTAAACTGATAGGGAGGGGAGGAGAAATGAGCGGCTGAGGATCAAGCCGTGGAGCCTGTACATATATACCATGTATTTCAAGTGGTGTAAGATAAGGGTGGAATATATGCATCAGAGCAACCATGGTCACTATGCAAACTCTTGATACACTCTGTCTAGGTGCCTTTCCTTTCCCTTTGCTCCGGGTGACCTGGTTGGGGTACTTAAACTACCTGGCTCTTGTCCCCCAATTACCCTTTGACTCCAGACGTGCCTACTCCACCTACCGACTAATTATAGCTGAGTACTAAAAGCCGTCAGGTAGCCTAACTGTCGAGTGTTACTTTTGCGGTAAAGAGGTCCCTAAATCATCCGGAAGGATGAAGCGAGCACCAAGCAGCGACGTTTCCTGGCCAATCAAATCGTGCACTCCAGCCAACCACTTTATTGCAAATCAACAAGCCAAACAACGCAACCTATTCTCCATTCAATCCTCAACCGTACCTCGATCTCTTTCATTATCGGCTGACGGCCAGGTCAATTAGTGAACCGGCAGTCCTTCCGTGCCGTTGTCCTCCGTTCGCCGGTCGCGTTGCCTTGCCTTGTCCTCTCTCGCTTTTGCCGTCTCCCCTTATTTATATCCGTCACACATCTCACAATGGCCGCCCCTCCCACATCCGTCAAGGAGGTCCTCCAGAAGAAGCCCGAGGGCCTGGACCTCTACGCCCGCTTCGCCCTGGCCGGAGCCCTCGGCTGCTCGGTCACACACGGCGCCTTCACACCCGTCGATGTGTACGTCTTCCCTGCTGCCCTCAGCGCTGTCCCCGTTGCTGCCCTCCTTGTCGACAACTTGCTAAAACCCCCGATAGAATCAAGACCAGGATCCAACTCGACCCGGCAACGTACAACCGTGGCATGATCGGCGGCTTCCGCCAGGTCATCAAGAATGAAGGAATCAGCGCGTTAGCCACGGGCTTCGGTCCCACGTTCACAGGCTACTTTGTCCAGGGCGCCTTCAAGTTCGGTGGTTACGAATTCTTCAAGAAGAAGTCCATCGACCTCATTGGCCTCGAGAAGGCACGTCAGAACCGTACCGCCGTGTACTCCGTGTCCGCTGCTTCGGCCGAATTCTTCGCTTCCATCGCCCTCTGCCCGTTGGAGGCCACCCGTATCCGTCTCGTCTCCACTCCTGGCTACGCCAAGGGTCTGATCGATGGCTTCACCAAGATCCTGACTACCGAGGGTGTCGGCGCCTTCTACGCCGGCTTTGGACCGATCTTGTTTAAACAGTATGTTCTTTCCTTGTCCAGTCCACATTGCTCCAAAGATCTGTTGGCTAACCTACGTGTGTTCTATAGGGTTCCGTACACGGTCACGAAGTTCGTCGCATTCGAGAAGGTTTCCGAGACCATCCTCGCTCAATTCGACAAGTCCACACTCTCGAATGGTGCCTTGACTGGTATTAACCTGGGCTCTGGCCTACTGGCTGGCTTTGCTGCCGCCATAGTGTCTCAGCCGGCCGATACGATGCTTTCCAAGATCAACAAGACCAAGGGACTACCCGGTGAAAGCACCATCTCCCGGCTCGGCAAGATTGCCCGCGAGCTTGGCGTACGCGGCTCCTTTGCCGGTCTCCCCACGCGTCTCTTCATGGTAGGCGGGCTAACGGCTGGCCAATTCGCCATCTATGGTGATATCAAGAAGGCTCTCGGTATGTTTATGATTGCCCCGTGCACGCCTTCCGCAATATTAGACTGCTAACCCTCATTATCGCAGGTGCTACGAATGGTGTAGAGATTTCCAAATAGACGTTGATCGAATTGGGGCGTAGACATGATACAGTTGCTTTTAGATTTCTCTAGCGGGCGCGTTTTCCATACCACTCTCAGGTAGTCGTATCTGCTTGCCGGGATGGGTTCATCACTACATCACTAGCGCGTCAGCGCCAGCAGCGATAAAAGATGTGCCTTGTTTAATGACGAAGAGAAAGACTGACACCCAACTCTCTACCTCGAGATTCTTGATGAACTCCCGCAATGGTTCGGTCTCGCCGTCAGGTATGCACATTATGGTCTGAGTTGTCGAACAGCGGAAAACCCTGCCCAACCGAGGCTATCATATAGTCATCCTCCTCACTACCGACAGACAGGTCGTCCCAGGCCGACCTTGGCGTGGATCAATTGCTCAGGTCCTTCAACCCATAGTAAGAAGGATCGAGACAGCTTTCATTACGAATAAGTACCGAAGGGTCGGTTCCACAGCTTACACCTACTTGAAAGAGTGTTCTTCCACTGGGAGACGAAAGATTCAAGATTCCAGATCCGACAGCATACCTATGCTCTCAACGACGGCCGAAGGACCGACACTTTATGCCAGAAAAGTGTTCAAGGCGCACGTCGCCAGTCCACCGGGACATGCTAGGTTACTACGTTGGTGATCTGGATGTCCTCGGCGACGACGGTCAGCTTAAAAAGGCTCCATGGTCATTTCATCGGAGCGGCTTACGACACCAGCGATCCGTAGACGAGAATATCCGGCTTCACAACACTATCTCTGTACGCATCGTTTGCCACTGGATCTGGCACGAGTGAACATAGGAAGGAACATGACAGGCCCCAGCTCCGATCATCATAGGGATGGACACTCTAGGTCGCGGTCTCAGCCGAGTCCAAGAACACCCAACGTTTCGAGATATTATGCGATATGAATGTCGAGAGATGAAGGATTGGCACCGAGTGCAGGCCATGGGCCATGAACTTAGCTGCGGTGGTTGGTCTATTGCACAAAAGAGCAAAAGAATGAACAGAGTGGGATTCGAACCCACGCCCCTTTCGAGACTACGAATAGTACATTCACAAAGTGAAACCTGAACGTAGCGCCATAGACCGCTCGGCCATCTGTCCATTTCCAGTAGTTAGACCTCGTCATTCAAATACCATGAATCTTGCACTCCAACAGCTCAAGTCATGTAGGTACCCCTTTCCCCGCTGCGCGCTTTATGAATCGTACCGTGTTAGGAACTGCTGCCGAGGAACAACTCATCACCACGAACATTTGAGCACGACATATCGCCACAACCCTGCACGACTGTCGGACATTCCTTCTGATTGGTAGGTGTATAATACCTAGGTACTGCTCTCATCGTCCTTCTTTGGCTTTAACAAACCCAACTCAATAAATGTGTATTGCCGGTCCATGAGTGATGGTGCAAACCGTCTTGCTCATTGGGATGTTGATGGATTGATCATGGCTAATGTCTCGAACACGACAGGTCCGACAGGATCTGGAGTGGGATTGAAAAAAGACCTTGGATATATCGTCACGTCGTGCCTGGTTAGGTCGAGAAAATGCCCGCCATTCTGGATGATCCCTCTGCAGGGACAATCTACCGAGTGTCTGGCGAACCTCCTTTTCCTGGCCCAGCTCACAAGGTCCTGCCGCCGTCTATCACCCTGCGTCATGTGACTCTGCGGGATAGGCAGACTACAGCAACCGTCATCCCTTTTGCTTCTCGGGAACAGGTGCCAGAGGGCTTGCTGCGCTATCTCAGCGACCAGTTCAACAAGGAGATAGAGGGCGGCGATACCTATCCCATGCTGGAAGGCATGCCTTTTGAGCAGTTTGCCAACTACTGGTTCCAGAACTTTGCCGGCATCATGCTGCTCGGCAACATTTCCACCGCCGGGGAAGTGGTTGAGGGCAAGGACTGGTCTAAGGAGTGTCTAGGTACCTTCTACATCAAACCGAACTACCCAGGCCGGAGCAGCCACATCTGCAATGCCGGTTTTATCGTGACGGACGCCGCCCGTAACCGGGGCGTGGGTCGTCTAATGGGCGAAAGCTACCTCGACTGGGCTCCCAAGCTAGGCTACGTCTATTCCGTCTTCAACCTTGTCTACGAGACCAACGTCGCCTCGTGCAAGATCTGGGATGCCCTGGGCTTCAAGCGCATTGGCCGGGTCAAGGGTGCCGGGAACCTCAAGAGCTATCCGGGACGTCTCATCGACGCCATCATCTACGGCCGGGATCTGGGTGGCGACGCGAACAGCGGCGAGGAACTCGTGAGTGAAGAACGTTTCGACAAGATCAAATTCTATCTAAAGTACGGACGCTATCCGAACGGGGCTGACCGGGCCGAGAAATCCAGACTGCGTAGCGCCGCCACACATTACAAGCTGCTCGAAGGAGACGTCCTGATGTTGAAGGACAAGGAGGTCATCTCGGATCCGCAACGACAGTACGAGATTGCGAGAAACGTGCATAACCTGGCTCATGCGGGGATCAATAAGTCGACGGCCACGATCGCGGAGAAGTATCACTGGAGTCGGATCAAGGAGACGGTCTCGGATGTAATTAGGAACTGCTCTGAATGTAAAGAATTGGGGAAGATGTCCAGTGCGCAACAACCGGTGCCAGGTGCGAGTCTGAAGAGGACCCTTAGCAGCAACCCTGCTCCCCCTTCTAAGCGTGCATCGCCCAGTCCATCGGCTTCTGGTCCCGGTGACAGCTCCGCTCCCCTCTCAACCACACGCCTAGCATCACTACAGGACTCCACCACTCTGCCACCTTTCGGCCTCCACCCCTCCCACTACGTCGATGCCGAAATGGACATGCTCTCATCCTCCTCTCACACCCTCCACCACCACCAACAACCCCTGCTTCAACACTCCCAACCGAACATCTACCAACCCATCGACCCCCAAATAATTTCCCACCACGACGACCACGCCTCCTTCTTCCATTCCCACGACTCCTCCCCGGACAACCAGATCAGCCAAGACGACGACAACACCTTCCAAGCCCTCTTATCCGCCACCACGCCCGACGACCACATTCCAGAAGACAATGGTTTATCACAACACCAGCATCCACCATCCGGACACGACACACCTCCTCACCGCCTTCCCTTGGCCGACCACAGCAGCAGCAGCAGCGACCACCTCCAACACAGCCACGACCCGGGTCAAGCCCACCGACAGGACGAACAGATACCACAAGAAGGACAAGATATCGGCCACCAAGATCTAGAAATGTTGTTGTCTCAGACCGAGCAAGAACAAGCCGACGATGACCAGGGCGACGATATACACGTGCAGCTAGTCGCGGACGAAGGAACGGGGAGGCTGGGCAGAAAGATGGGTTGGATAGGGACGGTGGTTTCTGCTCGTGGTGATAGCGGTGGTGGCGAAGCTGCTGATGAGCTGGGGATGCTTCAGGGTGGTGACGGTACGGGACAGGAAGATTAATGGGAACAGGGTCTAAAACTTCTTCGTGAAGGTTTTCAGAAGGGTTTGAAAATACAGGTGGCGTTCGGGATAGATGATTGGGGAATCGAATAGACGGATGGGTAATGCTGCGTTCAGGGGATTTGCGGCACACGTTGAAAAGCACCAGGCTGGAATTTGCATTATCACTGGTTTGATTCATCGTTAGACGTCCAACTTGTAGTCAGGCATCATACATCACAAGTGACTAGGCGCCTATATCTAACTCGAACTTCCTATTCTTGGTTCGCTAGACATGATCTACCGCCTCGGCATGCCCCGGCCTCTGCCCCTGAGAGCCCTCTGGGCAGCTCCGGGTGGTAGTGCCTGGCCGGGAGCCTGGGGTTGTGCGCTCTCCTCGTTTCGGATGGTCTCGTCCACGCTCAAAATCAGACAGCTGGCCTCAGTGGCAGCTTGTATAGCGTTGATCTTGACCAGTGCAGGCTCCCAGACGAACCGGTCCATCATGTTCGCCACACCTTCGTTCTGGAAGTCGACACCAGCCCACGTGTTGCCCTTGCGGTGCTCGACGCGGAGCTTGTTGAGGATATCGGTGGCATCGAAGCCGGCGTTATCGCACAGCTGGCGGGGGATGATCTCGAGGGCCTTGGCAAAAGACTTGATAATGGCCTGCTGCTTGTGTTGAATCTTGTTGTCGGCGAAGCGGTGAAGGTACGCTGACACCTCCATCTCTGTGGCACCACCACCGCCGACGATTGTCTTGTTGCGAATGGCCCGCTTCACGATCATGATGGCGTCGTGGAGGGAGCGTTCAACCTCGGCGATGAACTGCTCAGCACCGCCACGGAGGACGAGGGTGCATGTCTTGGCCTCTGGACAGTCCTCGAAGAAGTTGAACCGCTCTCCACCAATCTGGCGCTCCTCAAACTTGCCGCAGACACCCAAGTGCTCGGGGTGGATGTCGGAGCAGGTGGACTGAATCGTGGCGCCTGTGGCCTGCACAACGCGCTCCATATCCTCAGATGCGACACGACCGGCGCAGAAGATGTCGCGGTCGGCAAAGTATTGTGTGGCTAAATCACCAATGGGTAGCTTGGACAGCACAACCTTGGCACCCGTGGCGGCAACCTGCTCCAGCTTCTTGAAGATAATCTGCCATTCGGCGTCGACGATGGCTTGGTATTCGGACACCTGCTCAACGCGGACCTCGGCATTGTCCTTCTCCGCCTTCAACTCCAGCTCGACGTTCAAGCACACAATCTTGGGCTTGACGAAAGACTTGGGCTGCTGCTCGAAACCGGCGTACGAGAAGGTCTTCTTGAAAGCCACACCATTGACGAAGAGGGTATCGGTCAGCGATCCACCGGGAATCTTCTTCATGCCTATTAACTTTTCGTTGAGGTCTTCTTGGTCGAGGGTCAAGACGGCATCGACAACCACTGCAACTTGTTAGCTTCCCGCGAGCCTCTTTTCCGCCTAAGAAACAATGCCTTACTCTTGGTAAAGAACTCGGTGTTCCGCTTGATAAGCTTGCTGGTCATGGCGGTGGCCGCCAGCTTGCTCAACGTCTCCCTCTGTGTCGCCTGAGTCGTGTCCACAGCAATCTCGTTGATTTTGTTGACGGCCATCTGCGACGCTCTCCTGAGACCCTTGATGATGATCTGAGAGCTAACTCCTTGCTCGACATGCTCCTTGGTCTCCTTCAAGATCTCGCCCGCCAGGACGACGACTGACGTTGTGCCGTCTCCCACCTCGGCATCTTGTGACCGCGCAATATCGACGAGGATTCGCGCTGCGGGGTGGACGATATCGAGAAGCTTCATCACGGTTGCGCCATCGTTGGTAATCGTTTGCCTGCCGTTGGCATCCACCATTAACAAGTCACCACCATAGGGACCCAATGTGGATTTTATGGTCGCTTGCACGGCGAGGCATGCGTTGATATTGGAGATGATCTGGCCCTTTCCTTGGGAGGCATCGGTACCTAGAGCAATGGAGAGTCAGTTTCTAATAGAGCTGGAGAGGAGGGGGGATAAGGAGGGGTTCCTGACCCTCTTTCAGGACGATAATCGTCGGTGTCTGACCGCCGAAAGACATTGTGCAAGAGTGCTATAAAGAACCGCAACCTGGGGTATCGTGAGGGTGTACGGGGGAGGTAGGTTCTTTCGCAAGTACTCGGGTTGTCAGGAAGCTGTTGTTTGATGTTCGAGGCAGACGGTCAAGGTGGGACACTTGCTGCACCCCGGTAAGCTCAGAAAATAATTTGACAGCCTTCCACCACCGCGTTGTTGGCTGAAGCTCATTGAACGCTAGGCTCTTCTGGGTGTAGTGTCAGTAGCTGCTATCGATAAGGCGCAGCTTCCACTCAGCACCCAGGTTCCCACCAAGTCCTGCAACATCGGGGCAAGTACAACGTGGCTAAGGCATCCATCACGGCAACCCGATTTCAATTAGGGGGCTTCTTATTCGTATCAAACTGAAATGAAATACTTCGAAAGCTGGCTGGCAGATCGGCTTGGAGCCGTGGGAGGCGTGAGAGCCTCTAATGGGACGTGCAAGGCCTTGAAGCTGTGCTACGTTTTACAACTACGACAGCTTACGCATTTTCTTTCACTTCTCCTTACTCATTCTTCCTGACTCTCGAACTGACGAACAAGTCGTTCGTGTGGTCATGCCAA